GCAGAAAAGAAATGAAAAATGACAAGGATATTTCCAGCATTTAATTAGAAGCTACTAAATTATTAAAAAAACACAAACACATCTAAGTAATGTACAAAAAAGAATGCAAGGATAAGCATACATGTCAACAGCAGAAATGTAAATAAAAAAAGACAGAAAATATCAAGCACACTGTTTTGCCAACACCTGAAAAGAAAATAAAGATCGACAGAGAAGGCAGATATTCTTTTGAAGTCTCTATGAAAGGCTAACCTGTAAAGGATGGGAGGAAAGAGGCCCACTTTCTTGAAAGGAAAAGGGGCTGTTAAAATTAACGGCTCGGATTTTGCATCAATATTATGTGAAACTAACAGCTGTCACGGTTCTGAAGAGGTATATAGGAGAACAACATCTAGTGTCCACAAATTCCATGTATATGATACAATAAAGAATTGAATTAGAGCACATAAAATTCACAGAACACACCATTTTATAAAAGGTGCAACACAAAATAGTTCATTTTGCACATCAGGTCTGAATTGATGTTTTATCTAGGCCAGACAACTTGTTCAATCTTGTACTTTGTGTGTCAGTTACTGTTCAGTTTGTAGCGCTTCTGCCTTTGAGTCACAAGGTTCCAGGCTCAAGTCCAATTCCAGGACATGAGCACAAAAATAAAGGCTAATACTCCTGTGCAGTACTGAGCGACTACTGTCCTGTCAGAACTGCTGCTTTTCAGATGATATGTTAAAACAAGGATCTGCCTTCCAACTTAGGTGGGGACTATAAAACCCAAGGGCATTCTTTCAAATGAGAGTGAGTGAGTTATTTCAGGCATTCTATCCCTTAACATCACAGAAACAGATTCTCTGGCTGTTATCATACTGCTATTTGTTGGAGCTTGCTGAACAAAATCAGCGCTGCATTTCCAACATTACAACAGTGCCTACACTTCAAAATTACTTCATTACCTATAAAACATTGAGATTTCTAATGGTCATGCAAACCATTTTATGAATGTGATCTCTCTTTCTTTCTTTCCTATGCTTCAGCGCACAGATTAACACTCTCCTTTATTGAGCCACCTTCCAATTCTATTTTGAAAGTGCATATGGGCTCTGCTTCAACAACATTTCGTTAGGTCTTGCAACATCCAGTAATTTGCACAACTGTCTAGTGTTGCAATAATTGTCAGTTTATGGTGACTAGAAATGGTGAAGATCTCCATAAAATCTCATGGGTTTTCAACTGCCTTTTCTCATTTGTGTGGGGTTTCAATTATTTCAAGTAAATGCAGTTCATACATTATACAAGGTGACAAAGTGGTGTGGCTGTAGTATCTCAATCTCTGAAACAGAAGGCCTGAGTTCAAGTCTCACCGGCTCCATAGATGTGTCATCACATATTTGAACAGGTTGATTAAAAATATATGTAAGGTATGAAATCAATACTTAAATCTGTTTCACGAGTGGATCATAGGGACAGAGTGAGAGATTTTATCTACCTCAAAACTTAAACAGAGTTAAAATCAAGCTCATAAAGTAGGAGTTTTAAACCTCTGAAATAATTTCTGGATAGACGCCGTCTTGGATTCTAGTAACATAGATGTGAAATAAGCTCAGTTGCTGAATAATTGATCCAATCTGGGAGCATCTGGGAATCATGCTGTACACATTTCCTGCCAGACATTGTATAAAAATGTGTCTGTATTTCCACCCACTGTTGATATTGCTATATTAAATTCCTACTAAAGCCTAATCAGTAATGTCTGTCGTAGTTGACATCAATTTTACTTCTTTGTACTTTCAGCTTTGTATATTGTTTTGATTCATTTCTCCCATCCTGCAGCCTCCTGTGTCACACTACATCCTCCACTGCAGGCTGGATTTCTCTTCAGGCAACCACGGACAGCAATCTTCAACCAGCTGTTAGAAACTGAGAACTGTGGTGACATTTCCTCAAGGTACTCCTCTTGGGCTCAGACGCAAGGGTCTGGCTTGTGCTCATTGCCTAACGGTGACTGTACAAGCAATCAGGATGACAAATTTCATAAAACAGCAATTTAGAGATCACCTATTTCTATAAACTTATGCTCATTAAGGGAAAGGATGTTACAATGTGTCTTGGAATATTTATGCACAAATTGTGCAATTGCAGGTCAGATGTAGCACAACTGAATGTCTAAGGTCACAGCCCTTCTGGTACCAGCATTGTGCCTGAGCGCCAAAGTCAGAACAGCAACTATAACTGCATTAATGTGATATTTTTCCATTCTCTGCTACACCTATTCTGTGGCCAGTGAGAGAGAGATTGCTGGATTGGCATTGAATCCAAACCATTTTAAGCCAAGGGCCCGTGCCCATTGACAACTGGCTTTGCCTGGTCAAACAACTCACTTGGGACCAGCAGAGGAAGGAACGTCTTTCTTTACACCACATGGGCTCAAAACTGACTCACTCTGTGCCATTTTGTCAGTTTCCTGCATGTGCTACCATTGCCGAAATTAACACGCCATATGGTTTTTATGTACTCACAGTGCTACAGGCATACATTCCAATTTACACCCATTGGAATAATAGTCAGATATGCTTACAACATTGAAAATTAGTAACAGCGAACATTGCACAGGTAATCTGAGATCCTCTGGTTAGATCAGGACCATTCTGAACTTTAGCTCTGCCCTGCTAAAACTGTCAGGAAAGCTCCCTACTTTCTAAAACAAATGGGATGGATGAACGCTTCTCTCTTCTTCAAGATGGATGCACCAATTCCATTAGATGATAATCAACAGCTTTGTTACAAAAATGCATTCTTCCTGAAGATGTTCTATAATAAACATTTTGGCAATTGAAAAGAAAAACAAAATGGAAAAGCTATGAAGTAAGCACAAAGAACAAGAATGATGAAGAGGAACTGAATAATAGAATATCAAGGTGGGTGTAGAATGTTAATGAGAAAACAAGAGAAAAGAAAGATTTACTCTTTTTAAGAGAAAGAGTGCTAAACTTTCATGCCACACATCTCTGCAAGTGATATTTTAAGCAGGTAGGTGATTGAAAGCAGCGTCTGCAATTATAAGAAAAATTGCTACCTGTCAACAAAAGATGCATTCAAGGTAAACCTTTTTAAAGCCACTGTGATTTTAATAAATCTTTGCAGTGAAGAACCCATAGATTCTTCAAAATGTCAAACATGCAAGTTAACAGAAATGCTTGTTTGTGTATTTAGAACTGAAATCATTAGGTCAAACTGATGGAAATGTTTGTCAGTTTGATGGTACGTTTGTTCAATGTAGTGCACATTGCCTGCAAACCATCAGCATACATGATATAAAAAATAATTTTGGGCATGATTTAGTTCTATACATTCAATTAGCATACTTGAATTATTCACTGCAGGTATTTAAATCATTTAGAATACCAGGCAAAGGAATGTTGACCTTGCCAAGCCAAATTCACTTTTACCAACTCTCAAATGTCAATTGCTCCATTACTGTATAACTTTCTTTATTATATAATGATATATCTGTGCTACTTGTAAACATAGGATCATCTGGCCTCTATCCAGCCAATAACCTTGACACATGTTAGATCAAATCATCTGCATTGAGTGCCCTCTGAGCAACAAAATGGTTATGAACCACCCAAAGCTTTTCTCATTTGTTCGTAAACGCACCATATGAAAATGCATCACATTGAGACAACACTATATCATTTGCCTATATTGTTATATAGTATTAAATGTCTTACTGATTTTCTCTTTCCACGCTATTTCTTTTAGACATCAGTAACAGTCCAGCAAAGGTTAGTGAATGTGCAACTGAAGTAATTTGCTGCTGTTTACATTGGAAGGATTAACATAAGTAACTAAGAATGTATCGCAGAAGTTCTGAGCATGGAAAGAAGCCATTCACTCCATCACTGTTTGCTGGTTCTTTGCTACAATAATCTGGAACTGCCTGTTCGCTCCCTATGCCCTTTTCTAAACCAATATTAACATCTGATATGCTTTATTTTCATTCCATGAGCCACCTAACTGTACTCCTGATTTTTATAAATAAGTAGAAAATATACCCACTTTAATTGATATTCTATGTACTTTTTAAAAAAGCTTGCATTCAAAGTAAATACAGTTGAAACAACTAAATTATCACAATTTTTCATTGTAATGGTTCTATAATTACAGTTAATTAAAGATCATAGTTACCAAGGGCCAATGACAGATGTAAACTTTCAGTAGGACTCTCACATCAGTCAAAATCAGTGTTACCAACATCAATGCAATACAGAACAATCAGCCCATCACATTCTTATAATTAATCATTGAGATTGTTTAAAGATGGAAAAATCAGACTAGCTCACCTACTTATTATTGTCTAGGGAGTACGCTTCGCAGCAGCATCATCAAAAAAACTGGCCAATGCCATTGCTGGAAAATGCTACTAACAATAAATAACAACTAGCCAATAAGATTCTAAGAATCTTATAACAATATAATCCTGACAGTTTGTTAACAAGAAATATCATTTGGAAGGGTTTTCCTTGTGTGTACAAATATTCACTTTTATGTGCAATTTCAAACTGCTGTGCAGAGTGATGTGCTAATGATTACAGTTGTGGCATATTCCTAAGTCTTGTACACTTGAAACTCTCTCACTCTATTGTGTAATATGAACTGAAAAAGATGATGAGAATCACAGATTTCTTCACATGTAGAAAAGGTAGTCATTATCCAAACAAAGGAAAGACAATTGTCTTAATTATATTTTGCATTATATGTCGGAATGCTACAATGTTAGGTAACTACGTTAGATTTATTATAATGCATAACAGGCCATCTTGAGACTAAAACATCAAAATGGAAACAAATCTTTTAATAAACACATTCTATGCTGTGAAGAATCCTTTTTAGTTTCCAGACTTTTCTGGTTCGGGATTTAGAAGTATCAAAACCCTATGCCCTCTGCAACCTTTGACACAATATTCCACATTTGCGAAGGAAACTGATAATTGTGAGCCTACCTTGGCAGAGCTGTCAGATACTGGGGTTATATTTCCTGCAGTGCTGGATAAGGACAGTGAGGTTATTCATTCTCTGCCCTCACACAGACTCATGGCTTTCTGTTGCTGTCTGGCCTTCAATATCGAAGATGTTCTACAGTCCTGTTGGGGTTAAAGCATTTGAATTGAGGATGTTAATTGGCCATGGCACAAAATCAAGTCAACCAAAGAGAAGGAATACCTGTGTGTTTGCTGAGTTGGATTCATTATAGAAAGGCATTGAAAGATGACTCGTGTGATTGGTTTTAAAAGTCTGTGAATGAACTGGGAGGGAAATGCTTTCAGAACTTTCTGTGGTAAAAACAATCAGACAGAAATGCATGCTTGTATTCTGTCGGCATAGTAAGATATGGCACAGTGTATGTACAGTCATCCTTGGCCCACTGAAGGTGTGCCAAATGCTTGGTTTCTATAACAACAATTGGAGCTGCTCCAAAGCAGATAGCACTTCACCATCTGCAACCAAGCAAGCTCCTTCTGCTGCAGCCTCAACCTGCTGCTGAGCTTACGACGTCATCATGGGCCCTTTCCTGTTGCGAATCATGTCACAGCCCTGTGATGAAGCAAGATTTACCCTTCACTACTGTGTTTGTGTTGAACAGAAAATCATTTAGTTGACATTTAAGAGGTTATTCCGATTATTTAGAAATGTTTCATTTTGATCTCCAATATCAGGTCCCTGAGCTAGGAAGAAGAGGTCAACAGGGAGTTGGGTAAAAGGGAAAGAGTGATCAGGGGTGGTTGGGAGTGGGGAAGAAGATGGGATGTTGGGAAGAAGGGAGAGAACAAAGAGTTAAGGAGGAGGGCAGACAGTGGGGAAGGAGGAGTAAAAGAATGTAGAATTGGGAAGGCAGAGGTGGGCGTGGAGTTGGGAAATTTAATCCGCATAATTTTTCGTAGAGTTACCTCATCATTTGTGAAAATCCAGATGGTTCCCTTGTGCCATGAGTAAGTCCTTCATTACCTGATGTTCACACTCTGAGACTGGAAAACTGACTTTGCCAGTAGGGCAAATTACAGGCTCAAAGCTAATTTCTAACACTCTGATGTATATTTCAACATTCATTACTCCAACCTAGGCTGAAATTTGCATTGATTAACTCTGAGCTATAGAAATGAAAGGTATAGACACACACTGACTGATAAAAATAGAACTGTCAGGTCTCAACAAAAGATAACCAGTTTCAAAAGAGCATGAATTTTGTGGAAAGGGTCAAATCTAGCCTCATTGTTTCGCTTAAAGAGGTCAGAGCAGATGGAAGACATATTAGTTGAAAGCAGCCAGGTAATTAAGGAACTGTACGGACCAATTCAATAGCTACTGTGCCATTTTGTTTGATTACACCCATGAATTGTCACAAAAATAACTATCTATTGTTATTTCTAGACAAACTGAAATATTTTCTCAAAAAAGAAAGAGACAAGTGAATATAATTGCTCCAATGTGCTCACTCTCACCAAGGCAGCAGTTGGTCTTCAGTTCACAATCTGGATATACCATACCTACCAACTGGACAGTTTTCAGCCCAATAACCTGGAAAAGACTTCAGTGAAATATTCTACTTTTACTGGAGGAAAAATCAAGAGGGTTTTAATCACTGGAGAGAGGAACAATTGGTGTTCTCCAAAGAGTTTCTTTCAAAACAGCTGGCATTACTTGGCTTTGCAGCAGGGAATATATTTCTTTATGTTAGATCTGACTAATGGAGTCTTTGAAAAAAAAAATTGAAAATAGCACAGGTTTGATGGTAAGAACTATAGCTTTTTGTTATTCAGCATCCTGGTAGTTAATACTTGGAAAAAGATTCCATTGTATTCAATTAAAAATAAAACTGAGCGCGGTCTTGACAAATGTATTTGAATACATGCCTGTCCAACTTGGAAAATAATATCAATATGGTTGGATTGATAAAGTGCCTCCCAATCAGGAAACAAATTAAGTAGAGTAATAGCAATGCTGGATATTGCCTTAATAATGCTTTTTAACACAGTCCATATATTATTTTGAAAGGTCTCTCTGTCTGTCTCTCCCTTCGCCCCCATCACGCTCTCTCCTGTCCAGGAACCCAACTTGCTGTTGCCTACGTTTTGAGTCACGTTTTTCTCTGGAGCCTTTTATAATTGATTCATCAACATGCCTCATTTAATTTTACTATGTCAACTATCAGTATAGTTTCAGGTCCTGGCCAGCAGGTGACTCTGCAATGCAAGATACTGATATATCCCGACAAACTCGCTCATTCTTCTGTAACATTGCTCATCCGTTCCAACTTCAGTTCCTTCATCATGGAAAATCCTTGCCAACCCTTGACTTCTCTAATGTGCTCCTTGTTGATCTCTTATCCTTAGGCATTCACAATCTAAAGCATGTTTGAAACACATCAGCACCTCTCCTCTCTCACACTTATTTCTGATCATTGGATCAGGTCCCGTTTTCACTGAAAACAAAAAGTGCTCGAGATCACAGCAGGTCAGGCAGCATCCATGATGAGAAAGCAAGCTAACGTTTCAAATCTAGATGACTCTTCATCAGAGCTGAAATGAAGTATGGAGGGGGCAGCATTTATGCTATAGTGGTGGTGGGGGGTGGGGTTTAGTGCAGGGGGAGAAAGGATGTTGATAGTTCAGATTAAATGATCAGAATATGAGAATGGCAGAACAATGGTGTGTCTAACTGCCAAATTGGAAAGAACAGATAATCCCACTGGAGTGGGGGGAGGGAAGAAAGTGTGACAGAGAATGTAACATGCAAAGCTAAAAAAAAGGGAAGGAATGGAGCTCCTCCAGTTTGTACTGTGACTTGCTGGAGCATTGAGGACAGACAAGTGCATGCGAGCAGGACGCTGTGTTAAAATGACTGGCTACAGGAAGGTCAGGGCCATGGTTATACATCGACTGGAGGTGTTTTTCAAAGTGGTCACCCAGTCTGCATTTAATTTCTCCAATGTAGAGTAGGCCGCATTGGGTACAGTGAATACAATAGGCCAGATTGGAGGAGGTACAGGTGAAATGCTACTTCACCTGGAAAGACTGTTCAGGCTCTTGGATGGTGAGCAGGGAGGAGGTGAAGGTGCAGATGTTGCACCTTATGCGGTTATAAAGGAATGTGCTGTGGGAAGGGGTGTGGTGTTGGTAGTCGAGGAACGGACAAGGGTATCCCAGAGGGAACAATCCATTTTCACTGACCTAGTACTCCATCACATTGAATTTTGAAAGGTCAACCTTATCTTCATATTCGACTGTGGTCTTGCTCCATCTGCAACCTCCTCCAGCCTTCCAGTTTGCCTTTGTGATCTTAGCCTCCATTCAGCCAAGAATTGAGTAGAGCTTTCGCCATGGATTTTTCTCCAAGGTTTATCTGCTCCTAAAGTGGGAATAGGATTTATGAATTCCATCACAGGCCCACTGTGACACTGACTCACTTTACCTCTTGAGTGTAATGAAGATGTAGTTTACTTACGGGAACATAATTGATCAGAAGTAACAAGTGTCTGGGCCTATTTCAGGAGGAAAGGTAGCAATTAACAGACCTCTTCCTTCAATCAAAAAAAAGTGGGTTGAGCTCTGTCACCCTAGGATTGGTGCTGCTCACTTACTGGCAGTCTCAAGGGTCATAAACTATACAATGGGGCAGGGAAATGATCTGTTTCCCCAGGTCCTGCTCACCCTGCCATTATTTAAGTGCAGTGGGCTAGTCTGGTGTTGCACAGCTGAGATTTCTGTTTAATGGAAGAAAGTAAATTGCAGGACAATGGAACCAATAATTGGGATTCAGCAATTGTTCTCCCCATTCTATTTCCCTTCATCTATTGTCACAATCCAGATTGCTTTGGATTGTGTGGTTCTGATCAGTTTCAACAATGATGCGAATTCCACCGTTCAGGGTCACATAAAGTCCTTCTATTGATCTATTTCATTTTTAAAAATTTGCTTGCAGCACTTGGAGTGAAAGAACATCTTTGCCTGCAACACAAGGGTAAATAAGGAATAGTTATTAACCGCGACTGTCACAACAGGCTGAGGTTCAAACCCAGACCGGTACACTTCAGGGTCTTTAAACTCACCAGTACACTCCAACAGAATTGAAATTGGCTTTTTAACTCCTGTCCTTGTCTATTCTTCATAGAGGAAAGCACAAAATGTGTTTGCAATTTGGGACGTAATCTGCAGAGATTGGTTTGCTGTGCATCAATGGGTTATCAGGCCTTCATTATCTTTGTAGTTAGATTAGATCACTGTCTAATCTGTTTTGATTTTCTTCTCCCATCCTCATGTACAAGTTTGGAAGGCTATTGTTTGAAGTTCCTATCGTAACTGTAGGTGTGACATTCCATGTGTCTTATTCTTGAGATAGCTACTTAATTTTCATTTTTTTGTTGTAGCAGCAATCTTTTTAAAAACTTATTTAGAATTAAAAGTTACAAATATTCACAGTACTTTGGGGTTCTGACCTGTAGACATGGAACTCCACATTTGAACTCTGCCAGACTCTGCATTTCTCTGTGCTTAGTTTAAAAGGTTTCTGCAAAGCCATCTTTTAACCAAGCTTTCAGTTATCACATCACAAAGTTTTGGTCTTCATTTCTATATATTTTCATTTATTTCCTTTCCCCTTTTGTAAAAATATCTGTGAAGTTTTCCACGTGAAAGGCACTATACAAATACAGGATGTTTTCACTATACTGGCTAGTGTCACTGATTAGGAAAGGAGAAATTCTGCCTAGTCCATCCATTATGTAAAGTGCTTGATTCATATTTACATCATTTAATTTAGAGGAAATGGAAGAAGTTACCAAAATCTTAAGACTGTGAATTGGAAGAAACGGCTAAGTTAAACCTATATATGTGATTGATAAGCAAGCTCTCTCTCAGGTTTCAGTAATGCAAAGTGACAGTGTTGGGATAGTTGGGATTATGTTTTTAATGTGTTTCGAAATCTTTCAAATTGTGTTACATGTGAATAGCTTGAATCATTCAATTGTATCATCTTTTCTTTTGTGTAACATATGTTCGTGTTATTGTCTAATGTGCTTGTGTCTCAGTTAAAAAAAAACACCTTTAAATGAAAACAGAAGCAAAACATGATCTATCAAGCCAGATTT